CAACAGTCTGGCCCTTGAAAAATGGACAAGAAAGCGTTTTTTTGATCCACTATTAAATAATAGTATAGTAAGAACTGCAATCTTTGATTTGACACGTCATTACCCATTTTAGCTGATTACATGTTTAAAATTGTCTGATATTTCAATCACTCAATGTCAAATGTGACGAGTATATTTACTTAAATAATATCAGCGAGTCACTATAATGTAATCTTAATCTTTAATTTGAATTAAGGGATCCAATGATCCAAATAGTTGTATCTCGGCCAAATATTGTGCTATCATAACAAACCACACATCAATGGAAAGCTTATTTATTCAGCTTTCAGATGATGCATAAATCTCAATTTTGAAAAATTGACCCTTATGACTGGTTTTGTGCTCCAGGGTCACATATGTATGCTGCTTATACAATACTTAATGCTTTTGGCTTTATGCTTTGTATATGTTCGACATAACCTTTGCTTGTTTGTGAGTTTATATAAATGCTTGTCATGCAAATCTCTGCAGTCCCGGATTGAATTTCAGTAGCTTTTGTAAAATATGTAAAATTAAAATACAGGGCAAGTTAATGTCATTCAGATACACGAGAGGACAATAAGCTCATTACACAGACTTAGAGACGGAATAAGAAGGTTTTTTTGCAGCAGATTGAAGATTAAGAGAAGTTGTTCATGATGAAGACTGCTTTGCTTTTGGTTCTTTTGGAAGGTTAGTTGTGTCTTTTTCTTCCTTTTTCATTCATTTTTTATCATATTTTTACCCTATAAAGCTACTGTATCTACTGTATCTTATTTCTAAGGCCTCTAAATGATCAAAACTCTGCTGTTAAACCTGTTTCACTCGATCTCCTCACGTCTTCTGTCTCTGGTTGATAGTTTAGAGTTTTATCCAGTAAAAGCTCTTTCAGTGTAATTGTAGAAACGCTTCTTGTGTCAAATCTTGACTGGTTTTTAGCAAGTAAAGGTCAGAATAACTGCAGTAATATCTCCAGATGAACACTTACTGGACTGAAGCAGCTCAGCTTTACTTGATTCTCCATCAATCATGTTTTAGAGTCTCAAATCTGATCCTCAGGATCTTTTGAGGAGCGTTTGTTTCCAGAAGCTTTACTTTCACTGTTCCTCAGCGGAGGAATGATCTTCACAAGCCTCCAGAACATCTCTCATTTTCTGAGGAGCCTTTATTTCTTCAGCTCTCAATCAGCATTGGATTGCATTGCATTATATTTAGGGCTTGGTGATAAACCGATTTTATTTCGAGATTGCGATAAAATTTAACTCAATAGCAGTGATAAGCACTGTACATTTTTACTAGATATGGATTAACAGCCAGTCAGTGAATGTCGCTAAAAAGTCATGTTCTGTGTCTCTGTGTGAAAGAATGGCACCGTTTCGTCTGATAAACAAACTGATGCTCGTGGTGATTTCAGCGTTTGTGTCCCAATATATGAGACATGAACTCCGAGAGTCTAAAAAACTATAGTCAAATACACACTGAAACTGAAAGAACTTCAGGACATCCCATCAAAATAAAAGTCTGGTTTAACTTGAAGAAATTATGACCAAAATATATTACGATTGTATAGTCTACTAAAAAAATACATCTAAAATTAATAATAATATTCGTATTCGGGAATATCATACAACCAAGGTATTTTTCATTAATTTGTACAGTTCTGTTCTGCAGCATGTTGCTTGACAATAAAAATAAAAATTCAATGTTTTGTTGTAAATGAATTTTATTTCGTAATATTTTAAAAGAATCATCAACTGTTGAAGTTTTATTAACATTTCATTAGACACCATTTTTTTTTGAATTATGTGCAACAAACATGTGGAAAGTATTAACATTACAGGTAGATGAATATCACAATAAATCATCAATATGATATGGGAAAAAATACTGTGATGTTATTTTTGGCCATATTGGCCAGCTCTTGTTTTGATCATCAAACTAAGCGTTTAAATTTCATCTTACGAAGACATTTTATATTAGCGATACATAGCGACGACTGACACATATCATTT